CATGGGACCGAGTTCTGGTCCATGGAATGTATGCCTAAAAGCTGTATAAAACTTCTGAGAAGTATCCTTGGAGAGGGTTTGTGCTCTCCTCTTTGTCCTTCTTCCTTCCTGCTAGCTGGATGCAGATATTGATGGCTGCTGCTTGGACAGCCAACTAGACCTATAAAAGGTCTATCCCATTTTGAGAAATTGTGGAACAACAAGATGTAGAGCAAGCATGTCAAACTCTTGGCTCACAAAGAATACTTTTGCGGCCCAGCCAATACAACTGTGTGAGCAGTTATTTACAACTATGAAAGGAAAGAGGTCCCCTGTCAGATCCAGAATGACTGACACTCACCTTGGGTCAGTTTTGGAAGTCATCGCTGCGAACCAGATTTCCCCCGAAGTAGGAAAGATATAGCAGAGAAGAGATGCCAAGTGTCAGGAAGAAAACATGACTTTTATCATGGCTCTTGTTCTTTTTTTTTATTTTATTTTTATTTTTTTATTTTATTTTTATTTATTTTTCACAAGAAGGAAGGGAGAGGGATAGAGTGTTAGAAACATCAGTGAGAGAGAAACATTGATCAGCTGCCTCCTACACACCCCCTACTGGGGATGTGCCTGCAACTGAGGTACATGCCCTTGACCGGAATCAAACCTGGGAGCCTTCAGTCTGCAGGCTGGCGCTCTATCCACTGAGCCAAATTGGTTAGGGCATCTTGTTCTTCTTTTTTTTTTTTTTTTTTATTTCCAAATAAACTTACATTTCTATGGAAATTGAAGCTTTTGGTGTTTGTTTGTTTGTTTGTTTGCGGCCCATTTAAGTTTAAACCTTGTTTATTTGGCCTGTGTTAGCCTTTGAGTTTGACATGCTTTCTGTAGAATGCCATACATGGGCTGCCCATGATTCTGTGTGAAGAAATAAACTTCTATCTTTAATTAGACTGCATTTTTGGTTTTCTGTCACTCTGAGCTGAACCAAGTCCTACTATCACCACGTACTATGTGCCAGCACCTTCTCTAAGTGCCATCTGTGAAAACACTACACGCATTAACTCAATGGCTGCCCACATCACACCAATGAAATAAGCACTTCCGCCACGCACTCTCATTTTGAGATGGAAAAGCTGAGGCTCAGAATAATCACAGATCTTGCCCGAGTTCACGCCGATTATACATGGAAGTCGCTGGGTCTCCAGAGCCCCTGCCTAAAGCTATCCCGTGAGACACCAACAAATGAATGAACCCAGAATAAGCCAATAATAATAAACACCAAATAGTAATTCACTATTAATAAATGAAAAGACTTGTCATCAGAACCCCAGATACCTCAATAGACTAGCAATGACACATGGTAAGAAATTGGCCCTTTGAAATTTGGGAGAAGCCCAACTCTCTGCATATGTGCACTTGCCAAGCATTTTTGTGGCTGCCAGGCTTTTCAGTCGTGTGCTAAATTAGAAGCCTTAGCACTCTAGATGTGTGCCAACTGCCGTTTATAAATATTAAATGTTAATAACGCGTGTGGGAGATGACTAAGTGTCCCCTGGCTGCATGCAAAATTGAAAATCTGTGGAATTATGCTTCCTTCCCATGAAAGGAAGGAAGATGTGCTTTTGTCAAATTCAGGGGGAACCTACAGGCCACACCTTGAAAAGCATTCTTATAAAATGCTGCCTGTGCAATGAAGCCTCTTGTTTTAAATCCACAGCCCTGTGTTTCTTGTTCCTTTATATCTCGAATTGTCTCATATGTTTCTGTATTGGGTAGAGTCTCAGTCCCTTGGGCTTAAAGTTTAGTATTATCTTTAATTCATAGTTTCTTTGTGAGAATTACTTTAAATCATTTGCCTTCTTGGTAAAGATTAATTTAAAACTAGATAATATGATCTGCATTACCCACAGGGATAAAAGGACAATCAAGTTACAATATGTATTGAAAGAAAACAGATGAAGATGATGCCATGAACTCCTTCCCATTACAGTATCTTCCTTTTTTGCCTGTGACATGAGCTAGTCCATCTGTGTATGTGTGGGGCAGTTTCCTTACCAGTGTATGAATGCAATGAGCATAGCACCCAATATATAGGAGGCATTCAATACATGTGTTCAGTGAATGAATAGGGAGGAAAGGTAGATTTTAAAGATCTTGATCTTGTAAGCAACAGAGAATCAATTTAGAGTTGTTATGGAGCTTTGGTTGTTGTTTCAATAAGAGGGTAACATGATCAGTCCAATTTTTAGGCCTATAAGATGAGCATCAGAGTGGAGGATGGACTGGAGTTGCAGCAGGAAAACTAGAGGCAGGGATGCCATAGTCTAAGTGAAAGGTACAAGAGCCTGAAACATGTCAGTGGCCAAGAAAATAGACGTTAGACAAAGTTCAGGAGATAGAGCTGACAAGACTTTATGACTAATTGGCTTGGGGGTGAGGGAAATGTCCAGAATTAATTCAAGTTGTCTACCAGTAGTTTGGATGCCTGTGAGCTAGATAATACAGAGAGAGTGACTTTGCTGGTCTGGACATGCTGATTTGGGCCTAGACATACCCAGCAAGAAGCTGGCAATGTGACTCTAGAGCTTGGGAGGAAGACCTACATGGAGCTTCATATTTGGAAGTGATAATTATTTGATAAATATTTGATGAAATGTCTCCCAAGGAAAATATATGTTTGAAAGAGGGGTTCATTCTGTTACTTCTTGGCTTTAAAATGCTTTTGGTCACATGATAAAAAGATAAAGTCCAAATGTCTTAATTTGATACTCAAAAGTCTCCCCAGTCTAATATCAACCCATCTTGTTCAGTCATTTATTCAACACAACAGCCTTTATAGAAAGGCTGGATGCGCCGTGCTGTGTCTTGGGGACAGAGAGATGACTATGTAAGTCTTCGTTGCTGCCCTGGAAGAGGTATATTGGGGGAAAGAGACAACAAAATAGATGATTAGCATTCAGTAAAATAAGGATAGTAAGAGACCATCTCAGAGGGTGGTAGCAAGAAGTAAGTGAGTTCATACACATAAAGTCCTAAAACTTTGACTATGCAATAACTATTATTATTATTATTATTATTATTATTATTATAGGAGGGATATGTAATTGAACTGGAGTATAATTCCCTTGATTGGGCAACTACTGAGTTGAATTTTGAAGGAAATTTGAATTAGCCAGAATAAAGGTTGGAGAAACACATTCCTGAACTTCCCCTTGTTCCCTTGTGTAGTGGGTTGAACTGTGTTCCCTCCCACACCCCTCTCCCTCCCCTCCAAAACGATATGCCCATGTCTAAATTCCTGGAACCTGTGTATGTTACTATAAAGTAAATAACTGTAAAATGGTAACAACTTGCAGATGTCATTAAATTAAGGATCTTATGATCAAATCACCCTGGATTATCTGAGTGGGCCCTACATTCAATGACAAATGGCCTTGTAAAAGACAGAAGAGGAGAACCACAGGAAAGAAGAGAAGACCATGTGAAGACCGAGCCAGAGGGGAGTAGTGTGGCCATGGGCCAAGGAAGCCAAAGAATGCAGACAGCGATCAGGAGCTGGAAGAAGAACAGAAGGATTCTCCCTAGTCTCCAGAGGTATTCTAGTCCTACCAACACCTTGATTTCTAATGTCTAGCCTCCTGAAACTGTGAGAGAAGAAATTCCTGTTATTGTAAGCCACCCAGGTTGAAACAATGCATTCCAGCAATCCTCTCCACAGCTAATTCTTTGCTGGTGGTGAACAGAACATGGTCCAGGCCCTCATGGAGTCTGTGTTCTGGTTGAGGGGGTCACACAAAAATAAACAAACACAGAGTTAAATTTATTTTTATTATTTTTAATATTTATCTTTATTGTTGAAAGTATTATAAATGTCCCCTTTTTTTCCTCATTGACCCCCTCCACCCCTCACCCCCCAAACCCACTCCTCCAGGCCTTCACCTCCTATTGTCTGTGTCTATGGGTTATGCATATATGCATATAAATTCTTTGATTAATCTCTCCCTACCCACCCATCCACCCTACCTTCCCTCTGAGATTTATCAGTCTCTTTCATGCTTCTATGTCTCTGGATCTATTTCGTTCACCGGTTTATTTTGTTCATTACATTCCACATATACATGAGATCATGTGATACTTGTCTTTCTCTCACTGGCTTATTTCGCTTAGCATAATTCTCTCCAGGTCCCTCTATGCTGTCTCAAAGGGTATGAGATCCTTCCTTTTTATAGCTGCATAGCAGAGTGTTAGGTACTTCGAAAGTTAAACTCCAGAATTGTATACCCAATTGTCCACTTGCCACTTCTACTTAAATGTCTCACGGGCATCCCAAAGTTAACTTTCCACAAAGAGAAGTGCCTGGAGGTAGGGAGCTGATTTTTTTTAAGAGTCTGGATAGGCTTCTGGGTCGAGGTGACAGAACAGGAATGATGAGCCTGAGCAGATGAGGCTGAATGAAAGGGGAGGTTTTCTTTGTTTTGTTTGGGGTTGGGGTGGGGGGTGGGGGTGGGAACAGTGCTTGGAGGTGAAGAAAGAGGTTGAAGATTCAGGGAGGAGGTAACAGGAGTAGATTCGGAGAAAGCGGAAGTGACATGGGGCTTAGGTGAGAAAGGAGCACAGGGACAGAGGCCTCTGAAGGGAAATAGTAAGTACAGAGCAGGGACTAAGGGATGCTGACTCAGAGGAAAACTGTCTGGGTTTGAATCCTAGCTTTGCCACTTTGGTAATAAAATAGCAGGAAATTACATAATCTGGATCTTGATCTCCTCAACTATAAAATAAGGATAATCAGAGTTGGGTCAGGGAGGTAGAACTAGAAAAGGCTAGAAGCCAAGACAGAGACCTGAAGCAGAGAAAATGGTCAATTGGATCAAATACTCCAGAGAGTTGAAGAAAGATTATGATTCTAGTGCAAAATGCTATATATGGGTTAACTTAATTCAAGCATGAGTTCCCTAAGACACTAAGCTCTAAAACTGTTTTTTTGTTTTGTTTTGTTTTGTTTTTGTTTTTTTTTGTTTTCTATTTGCAAAATCAGGATGTGCATGGAAAATCTGCTGACTAGTTTAACAAATTTAAATTTATATCTTGTAAAGTTGGCAATGGAGGGAGACTTTCTACTTGGAAGGGACCTTGCTCCAGACCCTGACATTAACTGTGGGTGTCTCTCACACTAATGTCTGCTGCAGACACAATCAGCAGACTGGCCTTAGGAGGATAAAACATGGATTTTATAGTATAGCAGAGACAAGATTTAAGCAAGACATTACTAAAAGTTGGATCCCTAATGTTGTGGCTGGTCATGAAACTCTTTTCTTCTCTTTCAGAGTCCCTTCATAAGTAAATTCATTCAACCCCATAGCTTTAAAACACCATCTCACTGTCCCAAACTCTCAAATGTATTTCTCCAGCCTGACTTCACCCTGAGCAATTGCCTACTCTAGATCATTACTTAGTCGCCTGGCGGTCATCCTCAACTTAACCTTTCTAAAAGCGAACACTTGACTTCCTGATCACAAACTAGGTCTTACCTCCATATCCCCCATCTTGGTAAATTTATGTCCAACCCACAAGCACATTCTCTAGGGTTTCCTCCAGAATATTTTCCAAATCTCAATCCTCTGTATGCCTGGTACCTTGCTATTCCAAGTTGCCACCCTCTCCCACCTGGCCCTCTGTAGTAGTCTCCCAACTGGATTTTCTGCTTCTAGTTTATAGCATTTCCTTTCATCTGTTCACACAATAGCCATAAATCTGTTTAATACATAAAGCACATGCTATTCTCTTGATTATAAACCTCCAAAGGCTTCCCATCACATTAGGACTAAAACCCAAGACCCATGAGACCTTTACAAGATCCAGACCCTTCTCATTGTTTTGACTTCTCACACCAGCTTCCTTCTCTCACTGGGCTCCAGCTTAGTCCTAGTTTTCTGTTCCTCAAACACGTCATGCTGATTGCTGATGTAATATTACCTCATCTCTCTATCTGGAATGGCTTTCCCCACCCTGCTCCCCTCTTCTCCGTCTTCACATGGCTGCCTCCTCCTTGCCACAGAGGTCTCTGCTTGTGGATGTTTTCTAAGAGCAGCTTTCCCAGTTCATGCTTGTAGAGTAGCTCTCTCCAGTCAGTCTCTACTGCTAACTTTGTATCTGATCACTTATCGAGCAATATTTTCTTGTTTACGTTTATGTTTATTGTCTGTTTCTTCCCCATTGGAATGTAAGTCTTCTGAAAGCAAATTTTCTGTTTGGTTTAACCATTTTGTATTCAGCCCCAGGAAAGTGCATACATATGGTAGGTATTCAATAAATACTGACAGAGAAAGAAAGAAAACGAAGGAAGGAAGGAAGGAAGGAAGGAAGGAAGGAAGGAAGGAAGGAAGGAAGGAAGGAAGGAAGGAAGGAAGGAAGAAAGGAAAGATGGAAGGAAAGAAGGGTAGGCCAGAACAACAGGAGAAGGGAGTTACGTACAGAGCTCTCTATCATTACACTATCTGGTTTATAAATTGGAGCCTTCGCTTCACTAGAAAATGCTTTTTTTCTTTGTTACTTTAGAGCTTTATTTTATTTTATTTTATTTTTAAAATATATTTTATTGATTTTTTTACAGAGAGGAAGAGAGAGGGATAGAGAGTTAGAAACATCAATGAGAGAGAATCATCTATCAGCTGCCTCTTGCACATCCCCTACTGGGGATGTGCCGGCAACCAACGTACATGCCCTTGACCGAATGGAACACGGGATCTTTCAGTCCACAGGCCGACACTCTATCCACTGAGCCAAACTGGTTTCAGCAACTGTAGAGCTTTAGAGTGCCTTGGAGATAGAGAGAGAAGGGAGGAGGAAGAGATAAAAGAGAGAGGGAAAGATGGAGCATGGCAGGTGCTCAGGTTTTCCCTCCTGCCTTTCTGCTGTCCACCTTAGCTCCAGTTCCACCTGGGGATCTGCCTACTGACCTGGATGACTGACATTGGGCAGGTCTACTTTCTTGGGTGGAGATGTCACTCTACATTCACAGTAGAAGTTTGTACTGAAGGCAAAGAATAAACTCATCAGAATGTATCTTATAAGAAATTCATACTTATTAAGAGCAAGGACAGCTACTTTTGGCAAGGCAATGATCTCTGTTCTACACACTTCCTATACCCGATCTGAGGGTCCGATAAAGGAGAGTGATCTGGAACTTGACACATGTGTGTAAGTCATTATATCACACTGTTTGCTGAGTGTATCTGTAAATGAGAGCACAGTAAGTACTGCTGGCAAAATGCCATCTATGTTACTCATGCCAAAATGCTGTATTTCTACTATTTTTAGAGGCATATTTTTTTAAAGGATTTACACAGATTATTCTTGGTGTCCTCTCCGTCCTAGATGGCTTCAGTATCCTTGTGTAAGACTCATTCAGCACCCCTCACATTGATGCTGTCGCCTCCAATGCCTCTCACTTTCACTATGCTTCATCTACGTGGTCATACTCTGAATCTTGTCATCATCTCCAAACTATCCTCTTTGCAACTCTTAAGCCCCAAGACTTAAGAATATTTGAGGTTCTGCCGAAATCGGTTTGGCTCAGTGGTGGAGCGTCGGTCTGCGGACTGAAAGGTCCCAGGTTCACTTCCGGTCAAGGGCATGTACCTAAGTTGCAGGCACATCCTTAGTGGGGGGTGTGCAAGAGAGGCAGCTGGTCGATGTTTCTCTCTCATTGACGTTTCTAGCTCTCTATATCTCTCCCTTCTATTCTGTAAACAATCAATAAAATTATATATTTTTAAAAAGAATATTTGAGGTTCTGCTCATAATATCCTAACCTTATCATTTTATATCCCCCTTACTCCCATCAACCTGCTTTTCGACTTCAAAGAGATTTCCTCAAAACTTGTCACCCAACCTCTTAGCCCCCTAATTAATGTAAACGCCACTTCTCAAAGGCTCTGCCCTGTCATGTCCTGTCCCAGAGAACCACCCAACCTGAACTCTGGACTTCAGCCTCACCGCCGATTTCATTAAATATTTACTCTCTCCTCTAGGTCTTCCACTTATCTTCTCTTGGCTTTCTTCCCTCCGCACATAGACAGGATGGTATCTCTCCTAACAACTACCAAAAAAATAAATACATGATCGGATATTCTCCTTATCTAGCATCCCCTCTTCTTTTCCTGTGGTGGTCAAGTCCTTTTCACCCTACGCTAATCCCACTCACTCCTCGCCCCTCTGTAACCTGTCTTCCATCCTCACCTCTCTTCTGACACTGTTCCAGACCGGGGCGCAGCGACCAAATAGGCTACGGTCACATTTCACTTCTTATCTAACTTGGCGTCTGCTCTAGAAAGCTGTTCCTCCTTCTGCCTCTGTGCTTCCACCTCCATGATACCCCGCTCAGTGGGGCTCCTCTTCCCCGCCAGCTGCTCCTAAGCCTCCCTAACACAGGCTCCTTTTCCTCTTTCTCTTTGGTAAATGTGGATTCACCCTCCACCCTCCCTCCCCACTGCCTGTATATCTCTTTCTAAGCAATGTTATCATTGCTTGTGGTCTAAATGGCCGTTTATAGATGCTAAGACATACATTTTTGGAGCCTCATACCTATATTGCCTCCTTATTTTTATGGTATCTAAGGATCTCAAACTTACTACACCCCAAATTGAATTTATCATCTTTCCCATTTCCAAAACCAACTCTTCCGTTTATATTTACTGTGCGTGTAGATGTTAGCAGTCATCATCCAGTAGCTCAGGCTAGCCACATGGGAAAAGCCAAGCTTGTTCCTCACCACGAGGCTCCTCTGAATTCACTCACTAAGTCTCTCTTCAATCCATCTGTTCATCTCTCTTTTTTCTGACACTGAACTCAGACCTTTGCATTTCTGTTCTGAATCTTCTCAGTAATTTCTGGACGGTTCTCCCTGCTGGCAGCTTCATCTACCTCTTCCAGCAAAAGATTTGATACTGGTTTTTTTTTTCTTTGTTGCTGTTACTCATTTATATTTTATTATCTTTAGTGTCCTTTTCAAGCTAAAAAAGCATATTATATTTCAATAATATGCTTTCATTATAAAATAGTTTATAAAGCTATAAAAAAAAGTTAAAAGTCACCTTTCAGTCATTCCTCAAATCTTACTCCTACACACACACACACACACACACACACACACACTTCCTAAAGGTAAGATTTTTGTAAACATGCTGCATTTTTTCTACTTTAAGAGGCATCTTATTTACTTTTTTATATTTTATCATCTCTGAAAGCAGTATATAACATACAATGAATGGTGTCTTAGATTTGGTCAAATACACTATTCTACAATGTGTTTTTTTACTTGTTAATATGGGTCATGATTTCAAACTAGCATTTACCTTCAGGATGATCTTTCTGAAACACAAATCTGGTCAGGCCACTACCCTCCCAAGAACTCTCCAGAGGACCTCCTCCCGGCTCCCCCGCCTCGTCTTCTGATGCCCTCCTCCTTCTGTGGTCTCCTTCCCAGCACATCCACAAACATCCTCTTCCTTAAAGCCAAGGGCATCTGTTTGTGGTTCGTTCCCCAAATACACCATGCTGAGTGTTTGCACCACTGTTCTCTCTGCCTCTTCCTCACCTCTTCTCCTCAGAGTTGCTTCTTATTGGAAAATTGTTCTGACTCCCCAAGCCGAGCCGGATTCTTCGTTTATGCACCACCCCTCAACTTTCCCAGCTTCTGGTGCATATCTTTGTTAAGCCACTTAACTCACAGGTTTGGGCCATTTCTCTTGTTAGTTGCTCCCAACAAATAGTGAGTTCTTGAGTATGTTTTCTTCTTTCTATCCATTTCCAGTAGTGCTGGGGCAACATGGACACTCCATGAATATTTTTGGTAATAGTGAACAGTACTTGAAGGGGGGCATAAAAATGCTCCCTGAGATAAGGTGGAAAGCATCTGAATTAACCATCCCCGCAACCAAGAGAGAGAAGGAGGAGTAGAGAGGGTCTGAATGTTAACCCATCTGGGCACCCAGAAATCTAAAGCAACTGCGTTCCCCCCACCTCCCTTCTCCCTTCTGCTCCTCCAGACCCACTAATTTCACTCTCAACTAAAGATAATATCACATCAGCAACCATGACTTGATGACCCCTTCCTTTCTCCCCAGCCCTTATAAGTGCTTCAAGTCCCCTTGTCACAAAACCCCATATATATTTTTAATTCTCACTTGAGGATATTTTTCCATTGGTATTTAGAGACAGTGAAAGGAATAGGGAGGGGCACACAGAGAGAAACATCGATGTGAGAGAGACACACATTGATTAGTTGCCTCTAGCACGCGCCCTGACCGGGATAAAGTCTGTACCTGAGGTATGTGCCCTTGACTGGAATCGAATCTGGGACACTTCTGTCCATGGGCCGATGCTCTATCCACTGAGCCAAACTGGCCAGGGCACAAAAACCCTGTATTTAACCAAACGTTTTGAAAAGTATCAAAGGGTTTGTGTGTGTGTGTGTGTGTGTGTGTGTGTTTTCATTTGCCACTCTTAATCCCCTACCTGAATTTCCTGTCTGAACTCCTTTCTGCCCTAAGAGTGGACACACCTCTCCATCCCTCTAAGATGCAACACCAGGAAATAAACACAGAAAGAAGCTGGAGTTTAATACAAAAATCTTTATTTTAATGACCCTCCTGAAAAGCTTGAAGCTAATGTTCCACTTAGTGGAAACCACTATGCCCCTCTCAGCCCAGCATTGGGTTTAAATCTAGAAAATGCCAAAAACATTTCCCACTTCTCCTTTCTGACATAGATAACAAAGCCAAAGATTCCAATTCATTCACAGAAAAATATCAGTTACTGTTGGGGACTTAAAATAAACCTTGGTTAATGTGACCTACATAGCCATCACGAAGACTGAGTTACGCTAAAGCAGGTTGACAACTGTGGGGCCAACTTTCAAGACCCTCCCTTGGCAGAAAGGTCATGGACTCATGACACAGTCAGGAATGGCCGAGAAAAGAAGGAAAGTGAAAGATGAGGGTTAGTATAGAAAGAAGAATGGCAAATGGCAGGGCAGGGGAGAAGGAAGACTTTACAATTGGAAATAGAGCTGACAGAGGATTTTAAGAAATAGTCTTGCTGTGACATGTGGGGTTACCATGACGGGAAAAGAAATGCAAAGACAGCTAAGAGGAGTGGGGGAGGGCATGGAGCCAGATAGGTGAGTAGATAAGACAGAGCATCTTGGGAATGTAAACAGGACTGATAAAGAAACAGGACCTCTACTCAAGGACCTCAATCAAAGAAAGAGCAGGATGTACAAATGCACCGATAAAATGAAAGGAGAAAGCAGCTGCCGGGAAAAGTGTTGAATTCTACTGTCTGGAAGAGGCCGGTGAAAAAGGCACCTCTAGCTGCAAATGGACTCTAAATGAAAATGAGAATCTAGAGACATTCTAAAGCTCAGGTCAAGTCAGGCTACTCTGTGACATGCTCAACACGCTGGATCTGTGTGTGTGTTTGGGGGGGCGGTAGGGAACTTACATTCAGAGGAGAAAGACAACTTCACTTAAGCCCACACAAAAGTCAAGCCCAAAAGTCCCTTTGGTTCACAAATGTGAGGGTAAATACAAACGAAGGAACACCTGGCATCCAATCCAATACTTTAACAAGGCATAACCCCTGATCATTTTAGCTGGTGGGATAATCGACTGGCAAACTGATTTTCCTTGCACCTTAATCCGAAGCAATCACAAAGGAAAAGGCAAGGCCGAAATCCCCCTGGAGCCTGCACAGGGCCGCTCCCTTTCAGCACAGACTTGGGTGCCGGGCGCCTGGGCTGCCTCTCCTGACGCGGAGAGGTTGTTTGGGATGCAGAGTGAGTACTCCCCCGCCACCCCCCCCCCCCCCCCCCCCCCCCACTTCTCGGCCCGCAGGGAACCTGAAATTACCACCTCACCGCCCGGATGAAGAGAGAGAGGCAGGCACCTCTTAGAGAGACCGCGGAATGTGGGTTAATAAGCACCTTCCCCGCCACCCATCGGCTTCAGCCGTGACTTAGGCAGCTCCCGGAGAGGCCAGGGACGGGTCTTCCGTGGCTTTCGTTTCCTGCGTGGCTGAGACCAGGAGGAGAGGCCGGTCCGCTTACCTGCCTGCCTGCCTGGTGTCTCCCGGGCCAGGAGCGGTCCGCGGCCAGCGCCCGCCGCTCCCGCCCGCACCCAGGCGCTCTCCCGGGCCGCACCGGCCTGACTCACCGGGCCGGGTGGCACGGGTGGGGAGACCTCAGAGGGCGGAGGGACAGGAGGCGGAGGAGGCGGGCCGGGCCCAGCCCCCAGGGCCAGGCAGGAGGCGTCACCAGGGCGCAGGTGAAACCGACTCCGACCTGCCCGGGGAACGTCCGCTGCTGCCGGGGCTCCCGGCGGCCAGAGGCCCTGCAGCCGCCCTCTCCCACCCGGGGGAGAGGGGACTCGTGCGGGGACTCAGCCCAGGTCCAGAGGGGCTCCTCCCCCGGAGACCCGCGGCCCTTTGGCGCGCTCGGCGCCTGCGGCTGATGGAGACGGTGGCGCCGCCCCGGGTGCAGGTGCCACTGGACAGGCCGAGGTTCGGAGAGCTCGGGGAGGGAGCCAGACGGACACCGGGGGACCCGGGGGCGCCCTGGCAGCAGCGATGGCCCGGGAGCTGAGCCAGGAGGCGCTCCTGGACTTCCTGTGCCAGGCCGGGGGCCGGGTGACCAACGCCGCCTTGCTGAGCCACTTCAAGGGCTTCCTGCGCGACCCCGGCGCGTCCCCCGCGCAGCACCAGCGCCGCCGCGAGCTCTTCAAGGGCTTCGTCAACTCGGTGGCCGCCGTGCGCCAGGACCCCGACGGCACCAAGTGCGTGGTCCTCAAGAAGCGGTACCGGGACCTGCTGGGGGAGGAGGGGCTGCAGCAGCCCCGGGGCCCGCCCGCCGCCGCCGGCCCTGCGGGGGGAGCTGCGCCCCGCGCCCCGCCCCGCGCTCGGCAGCCCGGGCGGCGGCATCGGCCGGAGCGGGAGGAGCAGCAGCAGGAGGAGCAGGAGGAGGAGGAGCCAGCAGGTGCCGCAGCCCCAGCGGCCGCCGACCCAGGTTGCAATGGACTCTCCGCCCGCGGCGCCTGGGAGGCGGCCCGGGGAGGAGGCGGCTGCCGAAGACGCGGCGGCGGCTCAGACCCCCGGGCGCCGGTGCCCGCGGTGCCCGCTGCCCAGGTCGGAGCGAGATGCGCGGCGGCAGAGACGCAAGGCCGCTGCTGCTGGGAATGCCTCCAGAACGTCCTGGGGGGGCTCCCGGGCCAGCCGCCGGCCGGAGGAGCGCTCCCGGACCCCGCCACCGCCACCGCCTCCGTCACCGCCGGGGAGGAGCCGGCGCGGGCTCCCGCTGCCCCCGGTGACCGCGGGGCCCCCGGCCCGGAGCGGGGAGGCGCTCCCGCCGAGCCCGCGCCCGCGCCCGCGCCCGCGCCCGTGACCGTGACCGCAGCACCCCGCTCGCCTCCTGCAACCGTCGAGGCTGCTGGCAGCGCGGCCTCCCCGCCGGCCCTCCGGTCCAGCTCTCCTCCTCCTTCCCCCGGAGACCCGCCGGAGCTGCTGACCCCGGGCGACCTGCACCACCACTCCAGGCAGCAGCGGCGGCAGCAGCAGCAGCAGCAGCAGCGCACCCGGGAATGGGTGGCCAGGCACCCCCACACGCCCGAGGCCCGGGACCAGGGCCCCACCAGAGCCTGGTCGGTGCTGCCAGAGAACTTCCCCTTGGAGCTGGGCTTCGGGGTCCCAGAAGCGAAGTTAGCGCCTTCGGATCCTCCTGGTTCCCCTCATTCGCTCTTCCCGGCTGTCCCCGAATCCTGCCCCAGGAACCCCCAGTTGGCGGTCTTCCGCAGCATCCGTTCCCAGCTGTCCCTCCAAGAACTGGATGACTTTGTGGACCAGAACAGCCACAGCAGCGAGGAGAGCAGCAGTGGGCCCAAAGAGTCCCCGGGGGGTTCCGAGGAGGGGCTGCCCGGCGGCGCCCTAGGGACCCCAGATTGGAGAGAGCTCAGGAGGTCAGCTGGCGGCCTTGCCCCGAAGGAGGGCGGCTGCAGTGGGAGCCCTCCAGGCCTCAGACACAGAGGGGATGGTGGGCACGCCTCTCAGCCGGTGCCAGCTGGGGCCAATGGTCTCACCGCCAGCCAGCCCCAGGAGCCTTTGCCCTGGCCGGCTCCCAGGTCCAGGAGATCCTTCAGGATGAGCACTCGGGCGGGGAGAGCCAGATTGTCCTCCTCCGATGAGGAGGGTCTGGAGGAGGACTTGCTGAAAAGGAGTCGGCGCCCACCACGGTCCAGGAGATCCTCCAGGGCAGGAACAACGGCGTCCAGCCCCAGGCTGGATGCTGCCTTGATACCAAGCCCTGCTGACCTGAAAGCTGCTGTTGCTGCGAGGGGTCGGCTACCCAGTGCGTGGGCCCCAGGCAGGCAGGCGCCTGCTGCAGCCTTGGTCCCGCACAGGCCTGAGCACAGGCCGTCTGTGGTCCCCCTGGATGCCCGGGAGCACCAGTGGATAGTGAAGCTTGCCACCGGCTCCTGGATTCACGTGCTGGCCTTGCTCTGGGAGGACCCGCAGCTGGCTTTGCACAAGGACTTCCTGACTGGGTACACCGCTCTGCACTGGATCGCCAAGCACGGTGACCTCAGGGCCCTGCAGGACTTCGTGGGCAGTGCCCAGAAGGCAGGGGTTGCCCTCGATGCGAACGTGAAGTCCAGCGGCGGGTACACCCCGCTGCACCTCGCAGCCATCCACGGCCACCAGGGGGTCATGAAGCTGCTGGTGCAAAGGCTGGCTTCCCGGGTGAACATCCGGGACAGCAGTGGGAAGAAGCCTTGGCAGTATCTGACCAGTAACACCTCCGGGGAGATATGGCAGCTCCTGGGAGCCCCTCGGGGCAAGCCTATCTTCCCCGTCTTTCCCTTAGTCCGAAGCTCTTCCCCCACCAGGAAGGCCAAGAGCCGAGATGTATCCAGACACGTCACCCGAAAGACTTCCCTCGCGGCGCTTCTCAAAAGTCAGCACAACAAGTGGAAGTTGGCCAACCAGTATGAGAAATTCCCCACTCCAAAGGAAAGAGAGGGGTACAGTGACTGAGGTGGGCCCCTCTCTCCGACACACAGCCACTGCACCTCCATCCTGTAGCAAAGAAAAACTGCTGAGGAACTGGTCAAGAGAGAGACCGAGGGGGATGGCCTACCCAGTATTGACCTGCCCGGGTGTTTTGTCAGCACATTGTGGATCTCAGGGATTATTCAAGCTTCTGACAGCTCATGACCTTGGGCCAGGGAGACCTCTACAAGGGGCAGAGCCCGGTGCTTACAAGCAGCAGGTGTCTTCCTCTTCCTCCCATCCGAGCACAGAAAGCCACATTGTTCTCTGGAGCGGCAGTTACCAGGCCTTGGCTAGAGAGGGAACAGCTGTCTAACAAGAAGGAAGGCACTTCCAGGAATTGACGAGGCTCAATCAGAATCCTCTCTGGCTGTCTGTGCTCTGGCTTCTGTTCGTTTGGAGAATGATTTGGCTGAGGGTGGAAAGCTCCAGATTTGAAATCAGATGGCCCCTCTTTTCTTTTTTTTTCATTCTTTAAAAAAATCTTTTTCTTTATTCATTCTTAAAAAAAATCTTTTTCTTTATTCATTCTTTTTCTCCTCTCTCCCTCCTTCCCTCCCTTCTGTTTTCCCTCCTCCCACGCGCTATGTCCATAACTGCTTTCCTCCCTCTTCCTTTTCCCATTCAAATCAGTGAGATAAGCGTATTACCAGAGAGTAGGATTTGATTTAAAGAGATGCCACAGCTCTGTCCTGGTTTTCCTTTGGAAGCTAATGCATGAAATGATTAGTGCCTCCTTTGGGTTTCTTCTCCATGATCAGAGAAGTTGTTGGGTAAGATCCAGTTATGACTGATATTCAGGCTCTGGTTTTTTTGTTTTGTTTTGTTTTGTTTGCACGTGTAAATCAACCTAAGGGAAACTTTCCAAATGTAAACACTGGTGGCTCATGTGCCTCGTGACTGAAACCAGCTTTCTCGGAAGCTCCCTGTGTTATAGACGGCAGAATTAGCAGTAGCCGTTTTCAGCAGGTTTGAATGGCCAGGGTCCACACTTACAGGGAGGAGAAAAATTATTTCTCTCTGGGGAAACAGTGACGGTTAAGAGGTAAACGCCTCCCCACCAGGAATTTTCAACGCTGCTAAATGTAATTTTATTTGCACTGAACTTGTTGCCAATTGAGATTAAATATTAGCCTGAAGTGCTCTCTCTAACAGGAAGCGCTCCTTTTAGTTATTTGTGACAGGCCTGATCTTTGTGGATCCATGAAATGAGACCATCAAGATTTCAGAATATAAATTCAGAGAGGGTTGAAAAAAATGAAATGTCTAAGTGGAAATTGTTAATTTTTAATGAAAATGTTTTCATGTGCTGTGGAAATGATGCCGTATTTTAAAAGTATTTTTGTATTCTGGTTATCTTCCCTCCTCCTTATTAAAATTAAAATGTTAACAAATCTTTATAACTTATTATATTTGTACTGATTACTGTTAACTTTCTTCTTTACAAATAATGTGTCTCAGTGAATGTCAAGTGTTTTTTGTTTGTAGGTTTACTTTATAATTTTGCTGAAATAAACATATCTCTGTCCTATTATAAACCACATAGGTATAATAAAGAATTCTAAGGGTTGTTTTTTACAGAGACTTACACAAGGGCTGACACTTTGAGAAATAAAAAAATAAAATAATATAAAAAAGCCAAAACCAGTTTGGCTCAGTGGATAGAACGTCAGCCTGCGGACTGAAA